TGTTGGCTAGCTTGCTAGCTACATCCAGACACAAATGAGAGAACAGCTCACTCTGACCATTTTACTCGCCCAAGCAGAGCTGGTTAGGCTGTTTTTATGTTATTCAGAGCGTTGGTGACAGTAACTGTGCTGCAGGCAACAATTTAATTACTTTTTTTTGGTCAAAGTGTATTGACACCTGCCATATTCAACGGGTGTTGAGTGTTTGTAAATTCATCAGTTATTCTGCGCTCTGGCACTCTCGATAAGAGTGCTCAAAAATCGGAGTAGATAGCCAGAACGAATTTACCAGCTACGTCTATCGACAGTTGTCGCAGTGACATCATGAACATTCTATTGAAATGGTTCCTTGCATAGTGGAGTCTTTTTTGTTTAGACATCAAGCTAGCTAGCTAAAAAATTTAATCCCAACTATGCAAGTAACCATAATCCCAACCATAATCCCAACTCATAACGTTACTACCCTGCATGAATCTGCAGGTAGCTAACCAACCAGGTTCAATGTTAGCTTGCTAGCTAACATTAGGCTATAACAAGCAATGCCAACGGCTCTGAGATACAACTAATATTACTACACAGATCATACACGTAACGTTAGCTAGTGAGCCAGCCAGCTAACATTAACTAGCTATCTAACATTACGCTTTGACTTGAAATTAAAACAACTTTCTGACAAAATTAGAAACGTATAACATCTGAAAATGTAGCTAGCTAGACGATCTTACCTGTATACATGGATGGATGCTTCTCTCTCTCTGTCATGGATGCCATGGTTTCCCTTAGTTTGAAGACGTAATCTGGAGTCAGGTGTTTTATACAACAGCCTTCTGTGTGTTCTCTTTTCGACTCCCTCTGCATATTTGCAATCAAACGGCAGAATGTTCTGTATCTCCTTAGCTATCATACTCTAATTCCTCCGGGCATTCCACTGATTTCAAAATGTGGTCCTCCAGAAAGTGGAGAACAACATTTTTGCAGTTCTACTACGTGATATCTTCCAAAAAAAGCTGCATTAGAAGGATTACCTACACATAATGACCAGCTCACGTTATAGACAGAAGCATGCTACATGGCAGACAAATCCGAACTCATCTCTCAGCATGTCCAGCCAACCCATTATCTCAGCCAATCATGGCTAGCGGGATGGTTCCTGTCTTTTTCCGTGGCTAAACCAACTAGGCTCGTAATTTAACCATTTTATTCGTATTTACAGATGGCATACACGTTTGTTATTAAGGCACATGAAAGTTCACATGATCCAGAAGGCATTTCTGCCAAAAAACACATTTTGATTTTAAAATATAAGAAACGTTTACGTTCAAATGGCTCTCCTGTGAAGTAGTGACGCGCGACATACACCTAGTTTCCTGAAACGAGTCACATATTAGTGACGTAGCAATCCTCTCAAACAGTAAAATATACGTCCACCTGCTTTTGGTTCAAAGGTGGTACAAGCCAGCTGTTCCGACCAAGAATATCCGGGGGGCTCTGAGCTACTGGAACACATTGAGAAAAAAAAAGTGTAAAACACAACGTAGCAGCCAAGTAGCCTCCTGTCTATGGTGATGAAACGGACAGCACTCTCCAAGGTGCTAATTCTTTCAAAGCATTTTAGACGTCACTGAGTATGCCCACATACTTCAGCTTACACAAGTCCGAATTTCTTATAGCCTCATTTTCTAAACATCAATGTACAGCAACATTTTGGGACGACACTGCAGAACACCCGCCATATGCACACATACTCAGCAGTGGGGTTTACAAGACCCGAATTCCATATAATTTTCAAGACATCTATGTAGCAGTAGAACAAATATCACAATATCGGAATATAACTTGAAATAAAATAAATCAATGTAGGCTACAGCAGAACACACATATGAGAATAAATAGGCCTTCTGCCTATGTGATAATATGAAGCACATATTCAGATTAAAAACTTGTTCTGTGATGTGAAGGTCAATAAAAAAAATGACTCTCCCCGTGTCAAGTCCATTTAACTCCTGAGAGTCAACTTCTTGCTCAAAGCCATGAGTGGGCATGTGGCTGTGATGTTTAGCCTCCTTCTGAGGCTGTTCTGAAGACACTGGCTGTAGTGTCTATTTCTTTTTTCATTTTGACTGTTAACCTGGGTGTCCTCTTTAGCCTTGTCTACAAGGCTTGCTGCCACCAAATGCGCCTTGGTTCAGGCATGTTCAAAAACGTTTTTTTCTGAGTGCTCTTTGTTGTTGTTTATTATGTCTGATGCATAGGATGTTAATTTACTGTACATTCCACCCACTCTTTTGCTAGTTAATCCCTCCAGTCGTTTCTAGACCCAAGCTCCCTACCTTTTTGCATGTTGTACAGCCCAACTTTGAAATCTGCATGACAAGCCAGGGGTTATACGTTTGATTATTCTTGAACTGCAAATTGCACCTGCTCCGAGCATTTCATTTGTGGATGCACTGCCCCCTCCCCCCCCAGCTCCCCCTCCTCCCCAGCTCCCCCTCCCGCTGAGTCTGACTCGCTAGTAGGCCTACTAGCTAGTGGAGGTGCCGGTTGTGATGCTGAACTGGCGGGATTAGCATCACCATCAGGAACAATTTGCCCCTCACTCCTCTCCTCCGGCACTGACAGTTCTCTGGATCGTTCTAGGTTCGATTCACCATCCTCTCTGGATTTTTGGACTTGAAAAATGTCAAACTTGATTGCCTTTTCTTATCCATTTTTTTATTTGGCTTTCCCACGATTCAAATTCAGTAGGGAGACGACTAGACTAGGCTACGTGATGTGATTACGTAGGGACCTCTTCACTAGCTGACCACCACTACCAAGACCTGTTTCAAGATCAGTTACTTACCCCACTGGCCCTCCCCATAACCTCTATGTACAAATAAGAGAGCAGGTCTGGGATCAGTGTGGCAGGATAAGATGATTACATAGAAGGATCACCGTGCTTTTACATAATGGTCTTTCTGGGGGGCGGGAGATAAAACGAGTGGGCAACTTGATAACATTTTTATTAGAGAGTCTACAGTGCGAACAGTGAAATAATTAATAAGTCATGCCACGAGAGGTACGGGATCTGGGCAAATAGGTGCTGGAACAAACAAAGTCAAATATGAGAGGCGCCGGATCCAAATTAAGCACTGGCTCTACCTCTCGCAGTTGAACGTCTACGGGGTATACTCTAACCCTCAGGATCCTTTTCATCATCCTCCCTCTCTGGAAGGATTTCCTCTACCAAAGCAGTATCGTTAAACTTATTTTGAATCATCATAATGCTCTGCAATGATGAGCAGATTCGCCTTCGTACATTTATCCAGTATCTCCCTAATAGGTTTCCCCATAAAGTGCTCCAAAATCGAAGTCCATATTTTAAAACGTTATTATTACCCTGTGAATGTTTATGCAACTTTCCACTGCTTCAGTGATTTGAGCAACTACAACAAACCTGGGACACAATATCCCGGACGAGTCCCCATTTTCTTACATTCCCCAATAACCAAAAATCATCACTTAACATAAAAAAGAACTAACAAATGAGTCACTGACAACCAAACCGAAACCAGGTGGGGCTTTAAAATAGGTTCTGAAAGGCATCCATGGGGGTGCCTACTGAGTCCTGGACAAGCAAACTCTAATAGGGACTAAACTAGGGTCGCCATTGGTGTCGGCTACTGGGGATCCTAATAAAATCAAACAAATCTAAACAAACACACACCATGGATGCCCACTAGATTTGCCTAATAAGACAAAAAAAAACAAAAAACACACCACCTTAGGTCAGGGAGTGAAAATAAACGTGGAGCAAACCCAAACAGGGAAGACACGATAAAAGGCTTTGTTTAACTCAAACTTAGAGGGAGAGGTAAACAGTGGTCTAGCTCTTCCAACATCTCTCAAACCAACAGGAGCATTGGCTCTGCAGCGCTTCAATATCACCTGTGCCAGTAGAGGTGAAACTAACGATAGACTAACGAGGTGACAGGTGCAACACATCCTGGCCAACAAGGATGACTCCAATCAGTGCACGTCCACAACCAAAAATAAACCAACTTTGAAATCAAAAACAAATGCCAGATGGGCTGGTCCATCTTTAGCTCAGTGGCCGGTCTAAAAAGTAAAGCCACTAGACTAGTAACTGGGTGGGACTTCATATGGGTTAAGGAAGAATCACATAATTCCATAAAGGTCACCAGGTGGGATCAGCCAATGAATTATACTTTTGAGCAAACATTCCATAACTGCAGGTGGCAGTAAATCACCAACCTTGGCTTTATACCTGTTCAAACAACACTCTCCAGGTGGCAGTATGCAACCTTTCAGATTGGTTGCCAACTCATAGAAGTAGAAGAAGAAGAAAACGTACTACTTCAAAATGGAGAGGGCCTCAATGTTGTGCTGCCAGTGCTCTCACAGACGTCATATTGGGACAGATACACTGATGCGATGTCTATGTTTGTAACACAAACTGAGGTGTCTTTAGGTTAAGTGTAGTTGAGTGGGGAATTGGGCTGATCTTCCTCATTGTCCATGAAGCTATTTAAAAAATGCATTGGAATTATTTTCATTTACATAAAACATAAATAATGACTGAATTGATAAACAGTTTGATCTATCCCTTTTATTTTACACGAAATGTTTTGTGTATTTTACTTTCTAATTCACATTTTCTCTAAATATCAAAAGGATCTGCTAGATCCTTCACTTCTAGAAGAATACTTTACTGCCCATTTGTGGAAACTTATTACATCCTTACATCCTTTTGCTCAGTACCCAACCCCCCTGAAACAGAAATACATGTCCACTGACATGCTAGAAGAACATAGAGTCAGTGACACAGCAGCATCCCTGATTTGACTTTACTACAGTAAAATAGACTTAACAAAATGCATAAGACTTTTACAAAAATTAAATGCAATACAAAGGAAAAACAAAAGATTAGGTTGATGATAAAAACATTTAGTTCTGGCAGCTCACATTCTGTCAGATGTTCCTGTTAGACCTGGGATTCAAACCGGCAACCCTTGCCCTGCTGCTGTACCATCTAAAGTCATAATTGGTACCAGTTTAGGTTCAGATTTTAGATGAGGAAAATCAAGAGAGTTCGGAAAGATTCTTGTTCTTATAATTTTTGTAATACATGTTCTGATCTCCTTGGTCCTAATACCATATATGATAGGGTGTACCAGTGGTGGGAACAGAATGAACTGTACTGATATTAATATATTAACCTCTCTGTTTACTGTGCTGTGCCTGTTGTAAATAACAGAAAAAAGGATGGCTGTAGAGAAGTTGATGAAAGTGATCAAGTGGGGAGCACACGTATTAAAAGCCTTCTTTCGTGACTCCTTTGAGGCTTTCAAGCAAACAAGTATTATTTTTACATATGAGAGTCCAACTAACACAAAAGGTAAAACCACTAGGCTTGCTATGAGACATATACCATACAGGTTACTCAGTGCACTTTCATCACAAAAAAGCTTATTGATGTTGTAGTTGCACACAGGGAGCCTTGAAGTGATAAACATTTGAAAAGCGAGCATGGTTATGGGAATAAAATATACCAAGGTTAACAACATCTTCACATTAGAAGGGGTCATAATGCTATGATATTGTAATGGCTTACAAATGGAGACATACCTGTCATAAGCCATCACTGCTAGAATAACGTAAGCACACGTTGCATATACATTGCAGAAAAACACCTGCAATATACAACCTTCGTGAGAGATGTCCCTTTATGTCATTAACGAGATTGTCCATGATCTTCGGACAGACGGATAAACTCCCAATCAGTCCATTCACCGCCAAGTTGAACAGAAATATGTACATGGGCTTGTGTAAGCTTGATTCTAAGTAGATGACAAGCATGAGACTGAGGTTGGCCAAATATTGTAATGAAGAAAAGCAAAAATGTTAAGAAAAAAGCTGCGTAGTTGAGTGGGCCTGGAGGTCCATATGCAGTGAAAAATATAGTGATATGTAAGACCGTTTGGTTCATATTTCCTGAGTAAAAGACAATTATAGTCAGCAGTTATCAGACATCATTTTAGAAATAATAAAACACATTAATAAAATAAACATTTAGAAAATGTGCAAACTTCAAAATAGTTACCATCAGGTTAGTACACTGGAGTTGGTGTCAGGGGTTGACAGAATTAATTTGATAAAGATGAGAACATTCTAAAATGAACAGTCTTCCAAGTAAAATGTTGGCTGGCATGATACGTTTTAGCTCCTTTTTATACCTTGACCATATTATAAGTGACATGAGTATTTTCCAAATTAAAGCAATGTCTTAGAGAGATGTCACCCAATGGTATTAATTAAGGATGTATTTTTATTACTTCATTTGAGATCAGGGACGTGTTGTGTTTGTTTGACTGTATTCCAATTTTTTGGGTTCACTTTAAGGGGCAATCTTGCTAAATACATTTTCAGACTTTTAAATGAATGATATACACCCATTGATTCTTAAAATATATAACGTATGAATGCCTCATGAGCTTAGTCAACTGTCGTACCCCATCAGAACCCAAAATATAAGCTTGTTTCACTCCATTGTTTATAAACAATATAACTGTAAAAAAAACACTGTATAGCCTCAAAACATGGTTAAAACTATGAATTTGATATCAGGGAGGGTCAGTCCTTGCATCCATAGCTATGTCTATGAATTTGAGGGATGTATATTAGGAGTCATGATGGTGTGGTACTGCAAGGGCTTACAAATAGAGACATACCGGTCATAGGCCATCACTGTTAGAATCAGATATGCATAGACGTTACTGAAAGAGACTTGGATTAAACAGCCAAGAGAGATTTATTGGATTCCCATGAGGAGATATCTCATGATCTTTGGACAGACTGAAGAACTTTAAATTACAGCCAAGTGGAACAAAAGCATGTAGGATTGTTTCAATGTAGATGACCAACATGAGAAACAGGTTGAGACAAAGTTTAGGCATAAATCACAAACAGAAATATAGCTGCAAGCAGCAATGAACAGGGTTCACAGAATGACAGAAAGGACACAAGATCAGTTGGATAACAAAGCAATCTGGAGTGAGTCTGACCTATGGTTCATGAGGAGAAGATGACTGCAGATGATTTTGACCATTAGTGTTACATATGCAAAGAATGAGTTGTTAATAGTTTCCTTGTTTTTTATGAGATATCAATACCAAATTCAGTGTGGTTCATTTTAGGGACGTCCATGATAGCAATTACAAGTTGATATGCCACTATTTACAGTGGATTTACAGTGGTTTAAATGGACATGTAAAATCTGATATTTGATTTGTCAATATCTCAGCCTATCCCGTAGTTTTCTCAAACTAAGTGAAGACATGGGGTCATTTGGTCCTTTATTTTTTAAGTAGGGGTACTGAGGGTGCTGCAGCGCCCCCTGAGGTAGGGCACTGGGCCTTCACTAATCCTGTATCAGCGGACCGATAGCTCAGGAAGGTAACAAGTGACCCAGGTTTGAACTTAGTCAATAACACCAGCAACTGTCTGGCTCACACCCACCAGAATTTTCCTGTCAGCCCTGGGATTCAAACCTGAAACCTTCCAGTTACTGACTTGCTACTTTAACCTATTTAGGTGTCAAAAAATGTTTCTAAACACACAAGCATGGTTTACAAAACCACCATATTACACTCCACCACCTATTTCACCTCCTCATAGATACCTATCCAGGGCACAGCACCGATGGGACAGACTGGTGTCTATCCTAGGTCTCAAAAAGTTATACAGCTGCACCATCGAGAGCATCCTGACCGGTTGCATCACCACCTGGTAAGGCAACTGCTCGGCCTCCGACTGCAAGGCACTACAGAGGGTAGTGTGTACGGCCCAGTACATCACTGGGGCCAAGCTTCCTGCCATTGTCAAAGACTCCAGCCACGCTAATCATAGACTGTTCTCTCTGCTACTGCACGGCAAGTGGTACCAGAGCGCCATGGTTTCCAAAAGGAACACCTATGTGAGAATGCTGTTCATTGACTACAGCTCAGCGTTCAACACCATAGTGCCCACAAAGCTCATCACTAAGCTAAGGACCCTGGGACTAAACACCTCTGTGATGAGTGTGATAGAAGGAGTCAGGCGCTGGAGGGTAAATCACCGAATACAGAGTTTATTCCGTCGGGCACAATTGCGCTGGATAGTGACACACGAAAACAGGCACAGGGGAAACTATCTACCCTGGCAATACACGGTTCGGGATACTCCAACAATATACAGGCACTGGGGAAATATCTACCCCAGCAATACAAAGTGCGAGTAGCTCCACCGAGCTACACTACTCTCACAAATAACAATCACCCACAAGGACAAGGGGGGGAGTGGGAACACTTATACACGGACTAATGAGGGGATAAGAACCAGGTGTGTGTAATTGACAAGACAAGACAAATTATATGATGATATATGGAGTGGCAATGGCTAGTAAGCTGGCCTCGGGGACAGCCAGGAGGACACGGAGCAGGGCGAGCCGGATGGCGATGATGGAAATCCCGCAACAGGGAGGGATCGAGGATATCCCTCACCGGGACACAGAACCGTTCCTCCGGACCGTACCGCTCCCACTCCACGAGGTACTGAAGGCCCCCCACCCGACGCCTCGAATCCAGGATGGAATGGACAGAGTACGCCGGGGTTCCTCGATGTCCAGAGGAGGCGGAGGAACCTCTCACACCTCAGACTCCTGGAGCGGACCAACCACCACTGGCCTGAGGAGAGACACATTAAACGAGGGGTTAATACGGTAATCTAGACTATGAGCTAACGACCTGTCCATAAAGTTCGCAGCTGCGCCTGAATCGACCAATGCCTTACACTGGGAAAATACTGTGTAATCAGGGAAGGTGACGTGTATGGTGCGGTGCGCAGCAGAGGGCTCTGAACGAGTGTGGGTTTGCGCTACCTGGGGTGACGCGAGAGTGTCCTGCCTGCCGCCTCCAGACTCGGAAGAACCCTGACGACAGCTTGCAACAGAATGTCCTCTCCTGCCACAAGAGTGACACTGGAGCTGTCGTCCTCCGTTCTCCCGGATCGCTGCACCACCCAGCTCCATCGGAACTGAATCCGGGTTGAGGGGGTGTGAAACAGTCAGGCCTCTTCCAGGATGTCCTCTTGCAGCTAGCAGGTTGTCTAACCGGATGGCCATGTCCACCAGTTGGTCGAAAGTCAACATGGTATCCCAGCAGGCTAGCTCTCTTCGGACATCCTCTTGCAGGCTGCACCGTAAGCTGTCGATGAGGGCAAAGTCCAGGGCAAAGTCCTGTGCGGTCCTCATCCGCTGCCTCAGGTGGACCAGCCACTCGCCTGCCTCTCTACCTTCGGGCGGGTGATCGAAGACTGCCCAGAATAGGCTTGTGAACTCCCCGTAGTTGTCCAATGCGGCTCCTCCTTCGCTCCAGATCGCATTGGCCCACTCCAGGGCTTTCCCCGAGAGGCAGGAGACGAGGGCAGGCACCTTCTCCCGCTTCGATTGAGCCGGGCTGATGGTGGAGAAGTAGATATCCAGTTGCAGGAGGAATCCCTGGCAGCGGGCAGCTGTCCCGTCAAAATCCCTCAGTCGGGATAGAATAATCCCTCGGGGTGCTGGGGTGTGGGTGGCTGGATCCGGTCGCTCAGCTGGTCCAGAAGGATCGGGTCTTCTCCTCTCCAGGCGTTGGACGACCTGGAGAACCCGATCCATCGCTTCTCCCAAGCTGGCTAGCATCGTAGAATGCTCCCGGACCCGCGCCAAGACTCCAGGCATGTGCTCTTCTCCTGCTGACTCCATGTCTTGGTGTGTGATTCTTTCAGGGCCTATTCTCCCAGAGGGAATGACAGAAGGTGTCCCAAATGGTATCCTACAACTTTTTTTCATACTTTTTACAACTTTTTACAGGATGGATGGAATACATTGACCAATGTGTCTATTAAATACCTCACAACCCTTACTGGATTATTTTGGTCAAACATATCTCACAGTGACACTGGAAAAACAAGATTCCAGACAAACAAGATTCCTTATCTCAAGAACGGTATCTGGCCATCTGCCAGATTGCTGGCACACAGACACTGTTATAGCAGCAAAGGGGGGACCAACTCCCTATTAATGCCCATGATTTTGGAAAGAGATGTTCGACGAGTATGTGTCCACATACTTTTGGTCTTGTAGTATATATACAGTCCCAGTCAAAGGTTTGGACACACCTACTCATTCATAGGTTTTTCTTTAGACAAAATTATGAAATAACACATATGGAATCATGTAGTAACCAAAAAAGTGTTCAACAAATCCAAATGTATTTTAGATTTTAGATTCTTCAAAGTAGCCACCCTTTGCCTTGATGACAGCTTTGCACATTATTGGCATTCTCTCAACCAGCTTCACCTGGAATGCTTTTCCCACAGTCTTGAAGGAGTTCCCACATATGCTGAGCACTTGTTGGCTGTTTTTCCTTCACTCTGCCGTCCAACTCATCCCAAACCATCTCAATTAGGTTGAAGTCGGGGGATTGTGGAGGCCAAGTCATCTGATGCAGCTCTCCATCACTCTCCAGCTTGGTCAAATAGCCCTTACACAGCCTGGAGGTGTGTTGGGTCATTGTCCTGTTGAAAAACAAATTATAGTCCCACTAAGCCCAAACCAGATGGGATGGCATATCGCTGCAGAATGCTGTGGTAGCCATGCTGGTTAAGTGTTCCTTGAATTCTAAATAAATCATAGACAGTGTCACCAGCAAAGCACACCCATACCATAACACCTCCTCCTCCATGCTTCACGGTGGGAACAACACATGCGGAGAATTACCAGCCTCAGAAATTGCAGCCCAAATGAATGGTTCACAAAGTTCAAGTAACAGACACATCTCAACATCAACTGTTCAGAGGGGACTGTGTAAATCAGGCCTTCATGGTCGAATTGCTGCAAAGAAACCACTATTAAAGGACACCAATAGTAAGAAGGGACATGCTTGGGCCAAGAAACACGAGCAATGGACATTAGACCGGTGGAAATGTGTCCTTTGGTCTGGAGTCCAAATTGGAGATTTTTGGTTCAAACCGCCGTGTCTTTGTGAGACGCGGTGTGTGTGAACGGATTATCTCCGCATGTGTATTTCCCACCGTAAAACATGTGTTATGGTGTGGGGGGGCTTTGCTGGTGACACTGTCTGTGATATATTTAGAATTCAAAGCTCAATTGGTAGAGCATGGCGCTTGTAACGCCAGGGTAGTGGGTTCGATCCCCGGGACCATCCATACGTAAAAATATATTCACACATGACTAAGTCGCTTTGGATAAAAGCGTCTGCTAAATGGCTTATTATTATTATTATTATTATTATAACCATCATGGCTACCTCAGCATTCTGCAGTGATATGCCATCCCATCTGGTTTGGGCTTAGTGGGACTATCATTTGTTTTTCAAGCCTTGTTGGGGAGGGGGCTGTCGTCAGGGCGACGTATATCTCCCTTCTCGATAGGGCATCCGCGTTTCCATGCTTCACCCCTGACCTGTGCACAACAGAAAAGAGAAGTGTTGAAGGGACAAGAACCACCTGGTGACCCGATCGTTTGTGTCCCTTCTCCTGGCCATCTAGACCATGGGAGCATGATCTGTGACCAGGGTGAAGTGGTTGCCCAACAGGTAATACATGAGTGTCTAGCGCCCACTTCACCGCTATACAGTATTTCTCGACAATAGAGTACTTTTTATCTATGGGTATCAGCTTTCGGCTTATATACATGATGGGGTGCTCCTCCCCATCATGTACCAGGGACAGGACG